AGTCTTTTCTTGAGTGTTTGTTTGGTTTCTCCGATGTGATGTTCCTTGCACTCACTTTCTTGGCAACGGATGGAATAAATCAGATTGCATTTTTGGGTGTTAGGAACCCGGTCTTTGGGGTGTACTAGTTTTTGTCTCAATGTGTTTATCGGTTTAAAATAAACAGGAATATCATGTTGTAGAAATATTCTTTGTATTTTCTCTGAGAGGCCGGCAATATAAGGTACACAGACACCCCTTCTCTTCTTTTCTCTCTGTTGGTTGGTTTCCTCTCTGTTTGTTTTAATTTTCCTAACTTTTTTAAAGGAAGCGATTTTTGTTAAAAAATTTTCACCCTCTCTGAACCGTGAAGGAGGTATCAGATTTAACCTGTCTCCTATTTACAATAACTTGTTGACCAGTAAGGGACATAGACATGCTGATCAGGCTAACTGAAAGTAGCTATTCAGCCTTAGCCCAAACAATAGGCCTAATCAAGACCCAATGATAGGGAGTTTAGAAACCAATGGGCCTCTTCACCATAGGGGCGTGACTAACCATCCCCACCCAGTCCTCAAACAGGCCACGCTCAGCCTTTTAGCGCAGAGCAACTTCCCGGAGTCTTCACGGAGACTTCAGGGTTGTCTACCGCTGACGAAGCTTCTGTGAGAGAAGCGAAACGTCCTTTTTTGGTTTTTTTTTTGTTTTTTGTTTTTTGTTTTTTACCCACAGGTACAGATGACGACTGACAGAACCCTTTCTACTTAGGTATAGAGAAGTGTTCTGCGGTATTACGATGAGAAGAGTAACAATGCACCCACTGGTGCGGGTCAGAAAAATGTTATCCAGGTGTATATATACATTGAATGAAAATTAATCAATGAAAATCAGACCTAGCTTTCCTAATAAAAACAATAGTTTGACCAAAGGGGCATGTTCAACTCAAGTGTGCGCTCTAATTGTCATCACGGGTGTTTTTAAATTTGCAAGCAGTCAGTCAGCAAGAGCGATAAATTGTCACTGTGTTTCTTGTGACATGGCGTATACCACACTAAACACGGACCAGCGGAAGTGAAGGAAAATTGTCTCAAGAGATTAACAACAATTATAGACAAGCATCTTCAAGGTAAAGTCCATTAAACTATCTCCAAGCAGAAATTTAAGATCACCGGGACTGTGACCAAGCTCACTGGACGTGGCCTTGGGAGGAAAATGGATGACACATTGAAGAGACGGATAATATGAATTGGTAACAAAAGAGCCCAGGACAACCTCCAAAGAAATTAAAGGTGAACATCAAGGTCAAGGTCCAGCAGTGTCACATCGCACCATTCCATTGTTGTTTGAGCCACCAGTGAAAATCGATCATA